TTCATTTTTTTGAAAATTTTGGCCCGTTTGACCTTGAAATAAAGGTCAAAGGTCAAATCCAAGGGCATATTTGAAAACTACACATATGACTTTTGGAAAGCTGTCTGTAGAAATTTTTCCCATAACTCCTTCCTTAGGGTAGATAATTAGCATTTAATTTTGCCATTTTTAGACAAGGGTGCATTGCAATGAGTGCCACACCTAGACCCCAATACCGATAAAGCCCAAATTTTACGTGGAACGAGTTGAGATTATAGGTGACCTAAATCCAAGAGATGGGTACAGGGGCCCTTACCGTCTAGGAGGAGAAGCGGTAACGGTGACTTGGCAGCGGAGCCGCAGGAGCCGCAGGAGCCGGCGGAGCCGCAGGAGCCGGCGGAACATACGGGTCGGGACTAAAACCATGGGTACCGCCAGCGCCTACGCTGGTGGTACAATAAATAAATAAATAAATAAATAAATAAAAACAAGCATGAACTGTAATTAACCTCTTTTCTTTTTCAGGTGGCGGGTGGTGGTTTAAAGATTGCACTCGCTGGAACCTCAACGGGTATATGTCTTGCAATCATAATGGTTTAGGAATGAAGTTCGCTGCTATAACTGGAGTGAACTGCGACCTTGGCTGTATGCTCGAGGCCGGTACCATGAAGATCAGGCGAAACACTTAAATTACCAACATATAAACAACATGGCAATTTTGTATAGTCTCCACATTTACAGACATGTGACAGAAGTACTGCACCATCTTACTTGAAGGTGAACAATAGCCGTATTTCTTAGGTTTTTCGATTGGCATTTTATTGAAACATGGTTTTGTTAACTCAGTATCTTTACAACAGCTTTAATGACCAGTGCTTTTGCCCTATTTTGTTAGTATTAACCTTTAGTAGGATAGCCACGTGATCTCAATATGGCCGCCACCCTTTATAGGTATAGACTGCTAAAGGTTGATTTACCTTTTGGGGGCTATGCTGCCTCAGGCTCTAAAGATATATTGAATTAGATCATTTCTGGTAACAGTGGCAACAGTAGCGATCCTTTGCCACTGTTGCCTAAAATACCATTAGGTATTGGTAAATGTGTTATCCAATATGCTTTATATAATGCATGGAGTGTTATTGGGGTTAGTCGTAGTTAGTAGTGTATTATTAATGCGACGTTTAAATGTTGCAGTAAAGCATTATAATGAAATATTGATGAATTGCGAAGTGACGTATACTCGATTTCGACGTCTTATTCTAAAAATACCAAGGACTGATATTTGTTCTGATCTTACTCTAAGTATAATGGCACATTTTCCTAATTGTAAGCACATTGAGCATTAATGCATGAGGCATAGATTTATGCAAGGTGTCTTTTACTCCATCGAGATACGAAGTTTTGGTGATTTACGAATTTTATGTCATTTAATTAGTATTTGTTTGCTTTAAAAAGTGAGCGTATGTTGTGAAGATTTGGAATTTGAGGACGAATTATTTTTAAGAAAGGGTAGTTGCAAGTAATAATTAAAGAGGAATTAAACGAGTAAATGGATAGGGAGTTATTGAGTGTAAGTAAATTTATTGTAAGAGTCATCAAATGTTAAAATTGTTTTCGTGGTAGAAAAAGATGGAACATGTCAAAGTCACAAATAGTTTGATTTGGTTAGTTAATTTCTCAATAGAGTTTCTGTTACTTGTTAAATACATGCAGACTAGGGTTAGATATGGTAAAAGATGAGTTATTCAAATAATATTTCAAGTCTTTTAAATTGACAACAAGTCTCTTAGAAAACACCTTATTAGGGAATGTTAAATGGAGGGATACAACAGAATGGAAATGTCCTTGTTATCACGCAAATATAGTGGGTACAAAACAGGTAAATGCCCGATTAGCGCGGAGAAATTGAGTAAAAAAAACTTGTGAAATTGTATCGTAACAGAGTCGGTAAATAAATGTTTGAACGCTCCAGACAGGCGTTATCGTCACTATGACAGTGCTATACATATTGAAATGTCATCAGATTTGTCTGTAAACGTGCTTTTGTAAACCGGGATTTTATTTTGAATACAGTTTTTGTGAAATGTGTAACTTTGTGGCTATAAAATTCCTATGGCCAAGCAATGATAAGGAGGTAGGGAGACATTTCTTTTGTTCTTTTTGAAGGAAAATGGATTTTGTGTGAAAATTCCCAATAAGACCCTTGCCGATGTTTTCCGCAATGGTTGACTCAACGGCCGCCGACACTAAACACACCAAACGCATCATGATCAATTCATGTGATATCGATTGAAAGGCATTGTGCAGGGGCGGACAGAATCCGTCCTCTGCGTCTTCCGGAAGATTTTAACAAGTTTATATTGACGGGCGTCTATTTTTTTTCTGTTGGAAGACGGTCAAAAATGAAGGGTGGATCAACAAAGCTATCGGCGTGACTCATTGGTAGTGAAGTGGGAAAAGTGTAAATATGTAGTGAAACGCAAAATATGGGATTCTCAAATTCCCATTAAAAAAACTTACAAAAGTTAATCTCAGTTTAAGGAAATCTATGTGGGATTTGTCTGCCTTCATCAATTTTTCTTACTAACGGATCATTCCTTGACCCGTTGCTGTTTTTGGATTAGTTGTTTTATTCCATTTTAAATTTATTGATTTAGTTCTTTTTGTCCTATCAGTCAGTCGGAACGCCGCGCCTGCCTGTATTTCTCAGAAGGAACTGTCCACATAAGGTAATTTAATTTGAGTTTCTAAGTATTTAAGGCCTAAATAGGGAAGGACCACTAGTTTTCCAGTTCATAATGGCATAATGCATATAAATTTGGGAATTTTTTCAAACGCACAAAGTATTCCTTAGTATGTTAAATTAGTGCAGATAACCACTCGGCTATTTCTATTTCCTGTTGCCCGGTGTGGGAAGTGTGGGGAGGTTTCAAATTTTTTATGTACAGACACAGATGTGTCTGTACATATAGCCGTCATCTGCGTCTGTCGTCGCCGTCGCCGTCGCCATCGTCGCCGTGCACTTTTACCGATAACATAAGTGGAAAACTGTTTTTTATTTCAGCTTGAAACTTACAGAATTGATGGATATTCATAATATGCAGGTCAAGTTCGAAAATCAGCATGATCGGGTGATTGTAGGGAATTTATGCTGTTTTTTCACTTTTTTCAGCATATATGCAGCACCGATAACACGATAAGTGGAAAACCATTTTACTTTTGGGCTTGAAACTTAAAAAACTGATGAATATTCATAATACGCAGGTCAAGTTCGAAAATCAGCATGATCGGGCCATTTTTAGGGAGGTTTTTTCAACATATATGCAACATTGATAACACAATTGAACTGACAAGATACGTAAAAGTGTTTGTTTGATATTTCAGGATCTTTACAACATTGTAAATTGATTATGAAAAAATGATGGTAAACTTGTTATTATGTATTGTGTAATAAAGTGTCAAAAATGGAAATAAACTCATATCATAGCAGTTTGTCAGATTCAATCATCCACTATGTTCAGAATCTCAGAATGGAGGAAATTGGACATTTAACACTGTTCTATTGATACTTTTCCCATCTCATCAATTTTCTTAGTTGGTCATATAAAAATGGCAGTAAAATGTTTATTTTGTTTTATGTTAAAAAAAGTGTTAAAAATGGAAATCAACCCATTTCAGAACAGTGCTGTCTTGTTTACATTTTTATGTACACACACAGATGTGTCTGTACATATAGCCATCATCTGCGTCTGTCGTCGCCGTCGTCGCCGTCGTCGCCGTCGCCGTCGCCGTGCACTTTTACCGATAACACAATAAGTGGAAAAACATTTTGCCTTTTGATTTGAAACTTGCAGAACTGATGAATATTCATAATACGCAGGTCAAGTTCGAAAATCAGCATGATCGGGTCATTTTTAGGGAATTTATGCTGTTTTTTCACTTTTTTCAGCATATATGCAGCACCGATAACACGATAAGTG